TTTTGACTTAATACGTTAACAGTTATGGTCATATACCTGGATCATCTGATAGTGTGGTTTTAAGGGCAAGACTATAAATATGAGAATTTGGGATCAAAGGAGATGCAAGATTGGTGGAGGATGGGCCGATAGACGTTGGGAAAGAAAGAAACATATTTTCAATCAGTGATGGCAACATCATTGTTAGCTTACCAGTTGTAACTGATAGTGTCATCTGTACATCTAAAAAAATATACATTGATTTCATAAGATGTCTTTCGGTAGTGACATAAGACAAAAATTATCGCATGTCTTTCATTGTTTTCGCTTACTTTGATATATAAAGACAAAACAAGCGAGCCAAATACATTTATTATATAGTATTCCCTGGACATTTGCCCACCAAAAACAGATACCCATTATCTTATCTGAGAGTTTCCTCCATTTCAATTTTTTGAAATTGCCAGTCCCAGTCCTATTCCCAACCAAGCAGTTTTTTCACGTGATGTGTAAAATGTTAATTCTTGTTCCGAGAAATTTTGTCCGTCTCCGTGTTCGAATTTCCTGGGCTATTCATTATTATTATGTACACAAGGTCTGGATATAAGCTATTCGGCAATCTTGAATGGTTCTCTACTTGAAGGATATTAGCTCATATCCTGCTATTAGAGAAAAACAAAATCGCCGGCTCAAACTGAATTTCCGACATTTGCGAAAGAGTAAACGGCAAGTTGTTCGCCTTTTATAGCCTTTACAAGTTTAAAAACAAAATGAAAAACTCCCACAAATTGTTTGAAAAAAAATCGGCCGAATGAACGAAGATAAACACATAAACAAAATAGAAAATATTGAAAATACGCGAAAAGCAAAGTCTGTGAATTCAGACCTTGTGCATATAATAAAACAGTTATTCTTCGTCGAATATGATTCGGCGCTACTGGTGCTACTGTCGATTCGGCGCTACTGGCCTAATCGGCTAACAGCTCACATTCGACTCGAGTTCGTAGAATAACTGTTACATAACCTACGTTAAATATTCTTAACTTATTTTCCTTAAACCTTTCCATATTGAGAATTGAGTGGCAAAAATCAATGGATTTGTTGAATTGATTATTGCGAAGCGAAAGCATTCTATGGGCAACTCCAGCTTTTAGTTTATGCGTGCAGGGGACGATGGGAAGTAAGGTATCACATTGGTGATTATGCAGAAAAATAAAAATGGTGGCCGTGTAAACACGGAGTGATAGCCTATACTTGTAAATATTGAAATATTTCGGTTGTCTTGGTAGTTTTTATTGAAATTTTTCAGCATAATCAGCAATATGATACCGTACTTCCCATCATCCCCTGCAGGCATACACTAAAAGCTGGAATTGCCTATTGGTAGCTAAGTGTTGTTTGAAACATGACTGTGTACCTTTGGCTTTAGTAAAACAAGCAATACCGGAAAAAATGAACACAAGACCACGGAAAACCAGAACACCGAAACCTATAATTGCACACCCCCCGGTAAATTTTTCCTAATTTTTAACAAATTAAGAATTTTTAGTCTTCCGATGTTCCGTGTCCCGGAATGATAAAAAACGGAATATTTAGTGATGTTTAGATAAGTGTTTTATAATTTTTTTATATATTTAGCCGTGCACAAATTGCACTAGGTTCTTGTTATATAAACCAAAACTTATTGACTATTTCTATGTTGTCTCCTACTGTAAGTTGTTCTAATAGCAATTTTGCAATTGGTGACATGATTTTTTAATGAGACACCTGACAAGGTTTTCTTCCCTGCTACTATAATAACATCATGATTGATGCTTGTGATGTTACTCTGAGTGTATATCGACACCGGGCAAGCTAGAAAAATAGGCCTGACCATAGTGGGAAACGAACCTACGACCTTTGGAAAACTAACGCAATGCTCTGCCAACTGAGCTACGCGGTATAGCTACGAAATATCACATATTCGAACCGATCTGACAGCGTAGCTCAGTTTGCGGAGCATTGGGCAGTATTGCAAGGGTCGTAGGTTCGATTATTATTATTATTATTATTATTATTTAAGCTTATTTATTCACGGTAGCCTTTCAGAAGCCTGTTTTTCAAAGGGCCGTGCACACTTACTATAAAATATTATAAAAATATTAAAATTATTAACTAAAAAAAAACAAAAAATAAACAATCATGCATAATATACTCTATTTACATCGGCAAGGCATAATGCTTTGATATGGTTTGGCAGGATGACCTCCCAATTCAAAAACACAAGCCATCTATTAATCTTTTAAAAGAACAGATGGAAGTTTCAGGTATTTCCATAATTGGAAGTTTTTCCATTAAACTTTGGTTCCATGAAACTGCTCCTCTATAGGAGAAGCTTCGTATTAAAAAATTCGTCTTAGGTTTTGGTAGGTAAAGCTTTTGATGATTATTTCGTAGATGGTAGGTTTGGTTAACGGAGACATGAAACATCTGTGTTAAGTATTCTGGAGCCATACCCCTAAGTGCTTTAAATGTCATCAATAATTACCTCTTTTTTAGTATTGATTGTATTTTTGTCCATTTGAGCATTTGAAAAATTTCAGAAGATCGTTCTTCTAAGCCCGAACTGGTAATGACCCGTGCTGCACGCTTTTGCAATTTGAGCATTTTTTCGGCGTGCATTTTATTACCATCATACCATATAGTTGAACAATAATTGAAATAGGGGAGTACAAATGACTTATACATCATCTGTAGTGTTGCTTGAGGTACGTAAGGCTTCACTTTTCGTAACATAGCTATAGAACAAGAAATCTTTTTAGTTTGTTTGTCAAGATGTTTTGTCCATTGTAATTTATCGTCTATTTCTAAGCCTAAGACCTTTTTCTTGTAAACCCGTTTGATTATATGATCTCTAATTTTAATAATAGGGTCATTTCTGATCTAAACGATTCCCACCGTGGTCGGCATATTTTACAAGCTTGTCCGATGTGGATATACACTCAGAGTAACATCACAAGCATCATATTCACCTGAGTACATTACACCAACACAGAAAAATTATAACGTCATAATTGCATAATAAAACAATTATTGAATGTTATTTACCGAAGCCAAATGTTGAGGTCTGGATAATTCTTGATATCATGCTCATCCTCGTCCAATATTTAATTTGTTAAATGTTTTTACAATTGTATCCCATTTTTGTTTCTGCATCTTGCTCTATCCATTTTACAAATAGAGCCTGACATAAACCCTGCTATCCACTCAAGTGTATTTTGTATAAAGTATCCAGTCAAAATGTCCAGGGAGAGTAGTATAGGGAATGAGGGTTCTAGACCACTAACTGATCTAGGCTCTATCATCACTTTTTTATTTTCGTCTTAAATCAATAAGAATCCTGCAGTATTCTAGTCAATTTTTCTAGACCACTTTCTCCGCCTATTTTCAACGTTGAATATTTCCAGTCGACTTTCATCCAATCTATAAATTCTCTATTTAACAGTTTACTCAAAATCCAATTGCAATCAACTTATTACTTCCAGGGGTTCTGATTGCCTGAACACCTAGTAACTTCGCTTTCTCTCCCAACACCATTCTTAGATATTTCCTTTCATCTTTTGGTAATATGTCGTAGTTTTTCCTTAGATGATTCTCATCAGTTACGACTACCCTCAACGGTGTTGGTTTCTTGAACTTAAACCTCTTCAGTGGAATCACTACTTTGTATTCTGGTCTGGGAATACGTTTCTCTTCCCGTGGTTTTGAGTCTTCCCAGGGAGGGCCTTCATAGAGTTCTACTGCTTCCTCGAGTCTACAGTATTCACTCTGAGTTTTAACCCTTTCTTGTACACAGCTCGGTTCCGCTTTTTCTTCGATCACCACCTCAGCCTTCATTTCACCTATCGAGTGATGTCCGTACGCGTAACTTGTAACACCATCTTCAAGTAGGTATCTTTTATCATCGAAACAGCTGAGTGTGATTTTCTTTAGCTGGTAAGTTCCAATCTTATGCTTAATGCTTCGGATTGTGTTCATCTTATGTCTCATTCGACCTTTAGTCTTAATCACGTTCTTGAAGTTTTCGTGGGTGAGTTTGTTCCTAATCACGTACTTCTTCACACCTTTAGCTGTCATTCCACCTCCACCGCTCTCCTTTACATAGGAGTACATCTTTGACCTTAACCCAATGAATTCAATCACTGGTACTCCTTCAGCTTCATCCTTGAACTTCCCGATTACCTTCTTGTTGCGAGCTGAGTAATATGGAGAATCTTTCGGATAATCTGAGTTGTCCCAACAATCCTTCTCCTCACCGATCCTCTTGAAGTCCTCGTACACGTCATCAGTCTTAATCTCATACATTAGACTGTCGGTGTCTGTAGACAGGAGCTTTGACTTGTTGCCGTATTCCTTTTTGATTGTGTTGTAATGGAAGTCGTACATTAGAGTCTTAGATAAGTCTAAGATACTCATTCCCACATAACACGGTTTATTCAGGGTTAACACTTCCTTCATTCTCTTTACCACGATTAAGCTCTCATTCATAATTCTATGTGACTGGAAGCACGGTGATGCTGTAAGTTTTAGGAGATCGTTTTTCGACGACACTAGTTTCACATCAACTCTCTTCCTCAAATTTTCCATAGTCTTTCCATATATGGAATTATTCATGAGCTTGAAGAAGTTTTTCTCAAACGCATTCTTTGCGACCGATCGTTTTTGAGTATTGAAGTCAATATAGTTTTTCAACCAAGTTGACTGCTTGAAGGAGACTGCTCTATGAACCTTCGTGAGTTTCATTCCGAGTTCAGTATACAGTTTTAGATTCCTAACATGCAGAACGTAATTCTTCCTGGGACCCAGGGAGTTCACCAGTTTCCGCACACCTCCAATTGTCAGCTGGAACTTATCAACAATATCCTTTGCATAGTCTGATAACATTGACACATCGATCTCCTTACTTTCTGGAGCTAGTGGATAACCATTATGTATATCATGAAGTTCTGCTGGATATTCCATATCAACCTCAAGAACCATACCTCTTCCACTGTCTCCTAAATAGTCATTAATATTTATTTTGTCAACGTTCTCAACCCACTCAAATTCACCGTTAGGCAGCGGTTGAGACATCGCCCAGCCATACAAATTGTTGGCGTTGAGATACATAAGGAACTTGTTTTCAGCCTCTTCGTTATAAGTTTCCATATACTTATTATTCGCCGTAGAGTGTCTGTGAGCAATATGACTTACCCCACCTCTCATTCCCTTCTCGAAGAACTGGAACATATCCATATCGCTTACCAGTTCTATTTCCTCACCTGACTGTTTTAAGAAAGCATCCCAACTTAGACTTGGTGCTGAGATGTAGTGAGCAGGGTCAAGCTTGTAATTCTCCAAGCAGGTCTTCCTAAAATTCTCGAAAACATCAGCCAGGAGAAGAACGTCAGTCTCCAGGTAGAGATCATGGTAGTCTCTCATTGTTTTCATTTTAAAGTGATCCCAAACTTTTAGAGCTCTCTGGTAATCTTCTTCTTTCACTTCAGACTCATATAAGGATGAGTAGAATTTGTCTCTACTTGGAAGTTCCTTTGTGTCGAGTTTGCTGATATTATCTAGGTATTCATATGGAAATATACCTTTCTGTCTTACAAGATCGAAGTCTTCACCTTGCCACCGCTGACCGACTATCTTGAAGTCTTCAGGTGAAAGGTTACTCACAAGTGCCTCCAGGGAAGAAGCCATAAATTGTATCGAATCAATGAACACAAGACTTTTACCTAATGAGAAGGAGATGTATTTTTCCATGTTATTTGGGACAACGTTGATATTCATCTTAAACTTACCAATCTCCTGCATTATCAGATGGCTATCGTAACCTCTTAGATTGTGGAAGACCACCGGAACTTTCCATGTAATTCTGTACTTCAGATTACACATATTATGAGCATCTCCACGGAACAGTCCAGTTACATGATCGTGGTCCCTCACCCTATCATCACCCAGGTCGTTACCACATATGGAGCAGTTTCTTGTCATCCAGAACTCAGCTTCCTGCTCTGGTGTAATTATCATCTTTTTCTTGAAGATTTTATTTACCATTTCTCGGCACCTGATGGATACCTTCAGAACTGTCTTCAAGAAGACCTCTGTAGCGTTTTTACCAACGTAACTTATGTATTCACCGGAGTGCTTATCATCGTAGTGGCACACTGTTTTGAGTCCGAAACTACAAGCTTTATGTGTCTGGTAAAGTTCTGTGGTACTCTTCTCCTCAGCGTCTTCAGATTCAACTTTTCTCTCCTCAGGAACCAGCATAGACTCGAAGTCAGCATAGATTACAAATGGAGCAGGCATTGAATTCCTGTAGTGTCCGAACTTTATTTTTGAACCTTCATTTGGAAGCTTCGTGGCCTGAGTTCCGTTTACACTGATACATGTTTCACTGTGTTTCTTCAATGATTCTTCGCTAACGCAACTATGGAGGCAATATAAGCAGAAGTGTTTCTTGTTTGAGTTTCCGCTAACACTGAAGAGCATTCTATTTACATCCTTTATTAGAACGTAGTGGTTACCACCTTCATTGTCACCTAACAGCAGCAGCTCCATATGCTCGTCATATTTTATTTTGGAGTTTCTGATTGGATAGAACTGCTTCTTACCCTTATAACCAAACACTGATATACTTATTGAGTTCTTCCTCTCAATTTTATCAATGTCGCTTATTTTCACGGGGAAGTCTATTCCCTCATAATCTAGGTTTTTCGCGAACTCTATGTCCTGTCGTGTTATAGTAGTTGCTCTCCTAGCCTTTGGTCTCACAAGTCTCACATGACTCCACATAAAACATTTCTCATCATTATTTTTCATATTAATTAAACCACATTTTGGATTGCTGATGTCTGCGGGTAACTTCATATATGAACTACCCTTTAGAGGTTTGTACATCGCAATATTAACGTAGTGGCTTTCAATGTTTAGGATAATCCAATTTGAACCTAAGTTCTGGAAGGTTTCAATTCTAGATAAGATTGTTAGTTGGTTTTGAGCTGCAGTGCTTTCAATATCCTCGAAGTTGGTTGCGGTTCCTGTTTTCGATTTGAAGTATATCGAATCTTTCTTAGTCTTATCATTTCCGATTTCCTTTGACATTCTTACCTTAATAGTTTCCGTATATTTCAGACCTCCCATTCTCTTCAACTCGTTCACTAATATTCCCCTTACCACCTGCCTACTTGCGGTCATCTGGTCTAGGGGATCCATGTAATTTGGAGTTATTGAGTAAGTCACAGCGGCACCATTTGCGGCAGTTTCTATTTTCCTATAGGATGGCTTCTCAAGGTATGTTCCAAATGGATCAATTTCATGTTCCTCTGGTGCGACCACTACAGGCTGTTCCCCAACTTCTTTAGTCACCTTCACAGGCTTTCTTAACTTTGGAGGAGGCACAGGCTTTTTAGTTCTAGGTTTAGGAACAGGTCTCACTTTAGGGGCCACAGTCCTAGGCTTAGGAATAGGTCTCACTCTAGGGATCACAGTTCTTGGCTTAGGAGTAGGTTTCCATGGAGCCACACCCTTCGGTATCTCAGGAGCTTTCCTTGTTGGTTTCTTACTAAGATCCACAGTCACTGTGAACTTACCTGGTCCCACCTGAGTTATAACGCTATTTGCGGGAACCGAGAGTTTTATTCGGTTTTGACTTATAAACCTCTCCGCAACTGTTTGTCTTTTAACCTTAGGTTTCAGTGTTTCAGCTACCTTAACCTTTGGTGGTCTACCTCTTCTTTTGGGGACCTTGGCTTCTAGTGTTTTGCTTTCCTTAGCCTTTGGTGGTCTGCCTCTTCGTTTGGAGACCTTAGCTTCACTATCAGCCTTAACCTTTGACGGTCTACCTCTAGGAACCTTAGCTTCACTATCAGCCTTAGCCTTTGGTGGCCTGCCTCTAGGACGCTTGGGATTCCTAAGGTTCTCTAACCTCTTCATCTCCGCATTTACCTGAGGATCATCCGTTCTCCATCTACCTCCCATTGTTGGTGGTAGACCTTCAACTCCTCTACTAAGTAAGCTCTGATATGCCTCCTCAACTAGTAAAGCCTTTGCCTTCTGTCTCTCGGAATATTTCCATGTCGGCATTATTCCCCTCTTACCCTTGTAGTTTAGTGGGAGTCTCCTTGGTCTTTTTGGGTCAGTAGAACGGTCACCTTCATCTATGAATTGTCTTTCTCCTTCAAAGGGATCTTTGCCCTTATCCTTAGGTGCAACTCGATAGAATTTGTCCTCAGATATTCTCTCAACTTCATCCTCGAGATTTTCCTCATAATCGCTATCATCAATTATCTCACTAAGCGCCATAAGTTGTTCAACAGTCATATCGTTCATGTTAAAGTTACTCGCCATTTTTTCACTCTTTCTCTATATACTATAGGTAAAAAGAATAGGCCTATTTTAAGGCCTATTTAATTTTGAATTTAATTATTTATTTTTATTTAATTTAATATTTAATTTAATAATTAATATTTTATTTAATTTAATAATTTAATATTTTATTTAATTTAATATTTTAATATTTTTTTTAATTTTATAATTAATATTTTATTTAATCCAATAATTAATATTTTATTTATGTCTAAATTTCCAGTTATTATAATATTTACAATTTATGGGTTTCCATCCCAACTCAGGGAAAACCTTTCCATATAGTCTGTCCTCAAGGATGTTCACAATTCTTTTGGTCTTAATGTCCTCAGGAGGGTTTCTCAGCGTGATGTTGTTCATGCTGGCTATCCTCAGTAGGTAAAACTTATATCTAACTATGTTGCGCCCCGTTGCAGTCTAAGTCTTTGTATACATCTTACGATGCTTCTAAACTGCTCCCGTATGGTATCCCTATCCCCAGAAGCAACATGCTCGAATAAGTGTCTCTCAAACCAACGGACTCTATTATGGGACGATTTCTTTTTCAGGTAGTCGTCCTTGTTGTGATTGTAACTAACATAGTATGTGAAGTTATTCATATCACTTATGCCACACTGTGTGCATGTATCTGCTCCGTCTATCATTACAATTGACTTACTACCACATTCACTACATACTGGATCGTATGTATGTTTGACCTTCATTTTATTTCTCACGTATTTCATTACTACAGCCTCTAACTCCTCAATGGTGTTTGCGTTCTTACCGACTCGTTCCATTTCATCAGGTGTTACCAGTGTCAGCCAGTCCATCCCCTATACTATATATGTTAAAATTTTCTGCTTGTTTTTGTGGTTTATTTTTACGCCTCCTTATTATTCTCCATTCCACATATTTTTTGACTGCGGCCTCTAGTTCTTCTATGGTGTCCACCCTTTTTCCCAAAGCTACCACTTCGTCAACGTCTACCATTGCAAGCCAATCCATTTCTCTATATTATATATGTAAAAATTTATTGCTGTATTTTTATAGAATTAAGTAAGCTGCCCCTCCAACCACCCCACCTATAATTAAACCAAAGATTGCCATATATTCTTCCATCTCGGAGCTAGGTTTGTAGTGATTGCTTAACTGTGGTCTCCTTGGCATAGCCTTACGTGTTAACTCATTGATCCTTCTAACGAGTTCCAGTGATTTGTTTGTTGCATTGATATCTCTATTTGCCTCAGCTAATTCTGACCTTAATTGGGTAAGTCTGTTTCTCCTATCAGTGACTTCTTCAAAGTACTTCTCTCTTTCAGCTGTTAGGTTCTCCATTGCAATGTTATGTCTATGGGCTTCCTTAGCATATCCATTCTTATCAAACATCTTAAATAGGTATCCTGCTCCAGCAAATGCAAATGCGTTACAGAGTCCTCCTGCTACTGCTGACGCCATTATATAGTTTTACCTAGGTTTTGAATGGATCATCCGGTAGATACTTCTTATCTTTCAAGTAAGATACTAGTAGGGATGAAAGGCTAACTGAGACAGCTAACTTTGCCATTCCTTTTTTATTCATTCTCTGGGGTGCCTAATGGTTCTTTTAATAGTTTCTTCGATGCCATTGATATACCAATTGCTCCTGCTGTGAGTAGCACTGCGTCGTACACTTCCTTCGTCATCTTTGATTCTTTACTCATCTTGTTATAATATATATTATGTTTAATGTATCATTCAAGTGAATCTAACTTAGACTCATCAGCTTCCCTAGTTATCTCAACAGTCTCAGTTACGTGTTTGGGTTCCTGTTCCCTGGTTTCCCTCTGATGCGACTTGTATGCTAGCACTAGAGATACCAATGCAATGGCCACTCCTATGTAGGTAATCATACTGTCATTACTTGAAGGCTCCTTAGGTTCTGCAAGTTTCTTTTTCCTCTCCTTTGCTATTTTACTGATTGCAGCTAATCGTTTTCCTGCCGCTACTCTCTTCGGGTCCTTCTTCTTCTCACTTGTTACTTGTGCTTGGATTTGCTCAGGTTTATCTTCCATTCTACTTGTAAGATACCTTAGGTTTAACTGGGTTTAGTCTTTTGAGACATCTTACATTCTACTTGTGAGATAACTTGAATTTGTTTGTGAGATGTCTCAAATTTACTTGCAAGATAACTTAAATCTACTGGTGAGATATCTGTCGAGATAACTCAAATCTACTGGTGAGATAACTCAGATTTGCTTGTGAGGTAACCCTAATACTTACCTGAATTGAACCTTGGTCTGTACGTCTTCACGTCACAAACTACTTTTTTCACTGCAACTTTCCTTATGGTTTTCTTAAGTGAGAAGTACTCGTTAATTCTAATACAAGTCTTTACCAGATCATCTGATACCATTGTCATGTACCCTATTCCCCTCAATTTCCTAAACCATATATCCTGATTCTCACTTATAACTCCGGTGCCCTTGGGAGACTTAAATTCAATAGCAAATCCTTTATACTTCCCCATAGGATTGTCTATGATAAGATCTGGTTGACCACCTTTATATCC